ATAGATAGATAGATAGATAGATAGATAGATAGATAGATAGATAGATAAGGGAGACCTAAATAATTCTACCACATTTAAACCTCACTATTAATCTTTACAGATTTTCTGACATATATTATCTCATTGAATCCACAGAATCATATGAGAGAAGGGTGGGCAAGGCGGCTCAGTGGGTAGAGATGCTTGCCGAACAAGCTTAGCAACCTGAGTTCAATTCCTAGAACCTATATAAAACTGGTAGAGAGATCACTTCAAATTGTCCTCTGTCCTCCACACCTATAGCACAGCATATGTGCTATATACATCCATCATGCATACACATAACACAAATAAATTTTAAATAAATAAAAAGAATCCTGTGAGGCAAATCAGTGAGGTATTTCCTCTCTATGGGAAAACACACCAAAAGACTTGTCCAAAGCCATAATGTCACCCAGTATTAAAACTGGAATTAAAACCCTGACCTTAAGTCCTTTCATTAGATAATGCTGCTCCCTCTAAGTAAGACACTAACAGTGTTATTCCTACTGTTCTAATAAAGTGTCAACTTTGCCTCTAATCCCAACATTTAAGGAGTGAACCAGAAGGGCAGAACCTTCCCCCCCATTCCAGCTAGTCCTGGGAGGAAATAAAACATACAACGCTAGTTTCTTTGTCTACCTCCTGTCCCAACACCCAAAATATATAAAAACGAAGATCTAAGACCTGAGACTGTCACTCTGTGTAGAGTATCTGCCAAGTATGTGGAGGACAAAGGACAATTTTTGTGGCCTTAGTTCTCTCCTTCCACTTATCTCCGACACCATAAAACAATACTAAACAAGATTCCAGCACTAGTCAGCACAATGCAACAAAACAAGAAGTTTTAATTTAAAAGGCAGTGGGGGTCTGGTAAGATGACTCACCAGGCAAAGTGCTGACAATGTAACTTGGATCCTGGAATCCACATAAAGGAAGTCCTGAGTTCATTCCCAGCAACTACAGGAGGGCCACAACCAACTATAACAAGATCTGGTGCCTTCTTCTGGCATGCAGGTGTACATGCAGGCAGAACACTGTATACATAAATAAATAATTCTTAAAAAAAAAAAAAAAAGAAGGAAAGAAAGAAACTTAACAGTGATCCAACCAAAACCTCCTGAGTGACAGGCCTTAGCTAATTGCTGCCCTTAGGCCAAGAACGTTGTCTGTTGATTCTACCTGGATAACATAGCTTTGAGACTTAGTTAGCCATGTTACTCGGAGAATAGTGCCCCTCTGAATCATTCCCAGTGAATCCTGAGTTTAGAAATTTCCAGCTACAGTTTACAGACCAGTTAGTTCATTCGCCAATTTTCCCTAACCCAGACTAGCAGTATAAGAGCTGAACATTCAGTGTTGTACCTCCAGGTGCTAGTATGATGTTCAGCATTCTGGAGACTTTTAATAATTGTTGAACAAACAGCTCCACATTTCTGTATCTGTCACAAGCGTCAGGGTTCAGAACCTTGTGGCCCTTACCATGCCTATATAATTATCCTGAACAAGGTGTTTCTTAAACTTTATAGTGCCTTTAAATCACCTAACAATTTTCATAAAAATGAGCTTCTTATAAAGTAGAAAGAGGCCTTGAACTTCTAATCCTCTTTCCTCAACCTCTAAGTGTTAGAATTACAGGCATTTATTATTGTGCCCAGCCAAAGAGATTCTCATTTTTATTCCCCTCCTTTGGTAAAAGTCTCATGTGACCCAGGCTGGTCTTGAACTCCTGATCTTCCTGCTTCTACCTCCCAGGTGATGCCTTGTTAGCTCATGGAGAACACCTTTTAAATACCAAAGTCCTGGTCAGATACAAAACTTGGGAAGCAGAGACAAAAGATTCAGGAGTTTAAGGTCATCTTCTGATACATAGAAAGTTCAAGGTCAGGCTAGACATTATGTGACCCTTTAAAAAAAAAAAAAAAAAAAGAAGGAAAGAAAAACTATTTTAAGACAAAAATTTTTGAGAGGGAAAAGGGCTTAAAGTAGTAAGCAGGTAAAATGATGGGTTTATAAGTAAATTATTTAACCGCGTTTCCCAAACATTCAGATGTCTTATAACTTTTCTAATAATACTACAACTTCGTGTTTTGTTTAATAATTTCTTGCAGTAAACAGTCAAACCCAGGAACTGGACGACACCGGTCCGAAGCTAACAGTGAATTTTGACTACGCTCCGAGTAGTATGATTGGACTGCTACGTACAATGATCATAGATCTGAGGCTTACAGTGTGCCAGAAACTATTCCGCGTGTGTTTTTATCGACTTCTCACAATAACCCTGAGGCAGGTATTACTAGTATTATTCCAATTACAAAGACGAAAGAAAAGGAGATTCAGTCGGGCGCGGTGGCTCACTCCTGTAATCACAGCACTTATGAAAGCAGAGGCTGGCGCAGGGCTGTTCGAGGCCAGCCTGGTCTACAAAGCCAGTCCAGGACAGCCAAGTCTACACAGAGAAACCCCGTCTGGGGAGAGGGGGGGAGGTTAGAAGGGTTAGAAAGAATAAAAGGAGATTCCGCAATTACATTAATTCTAGTTCACACAGTAGAGACCAAACTCACTCTGAAGAGCAGGCGTTCACCCCCAGCCTGGCATGGAGTCGACAACGTCCCCAGCCTCCGGAAGCCAGGCGCTTGCGAGGACAGGAAGCCGCTCAACCTTCACCTGTCAAGGCGCTTAAAGGCTTCTCGACTTCTGTCGTTTCCTACCGTGAGAAGGATCCACTCACCTCCTCGGCTTCCGCTCAGTCCGTCTATTTTTCTCGCCGGGTTCGCCACACTTCCGGTAGAGGTACAGCTACTTTTCTCGTCCCGCACCAAACTAGGTACACAAGAGTTTCAGGCAGTACAGAGTGAGTACCAGAGAGGATTCTAAAGGTGGTACCTTAGGCTTTTGGTCTACAAACTTCCCAGCGCGTTCGCTTTATGAAATTTCCTGTTACTTGCGAGCGAGCTTTTCGCTCTCCTTCTTGCATCCCGCCCTCGTATGCAAACACCAGTCCTCTGTCTTTCAAATAGGGTCTCGGTGCTGCTAACGCCTCTTCGTTGCCTGGCCACTTGTGCCTCCGCTTCCCTGCAGTCCCTTGCGAACTGGCTTTCCTCAACTGTGTCCCAAGGACTCCCAGCAGAGCTGTTGCATACCTTCTGCACGCTTCTGTTAAGGTGTTGCCCCACTTGGGGTTCACAACCTGTGTCCCAAGTCAACTCCAGCCATCAGTCCTCAATAAGCCAATTACAAGAGCCGAATTAGAGCTGGGTAACGGTGGCGCACGCTTTTATCCCACACTTGAGGCAGAGGCAGGCAGATTTCTGATGTTCGAGGCCAGCCTGGCCTAGAGAGTGAGTTCCAGCACAGCCAAGGTTACATATAGAAACTCTGTCTCGAAAAACAAAACAAAAGAAAAACAAAAGCCAAATTAAAAATGAAAAGGAAGGGGCTGGAGAGATGGTCCATTTGTTAAGAAAAAAAAAAAAATTAAAAAAAAAATTTTTTTTTTTTGTACTATGAAGACCAGGCTGCCTCAAAGTCACTGAGAACTACTTGCCTCCTGAGTGCTGGGACTATAGGTCTAAGCCACCATGTCTGGCTATTTTTTGATTAAGAAAAAAATGTATTATTGTTACTCTGTGTGTGTGTGTGCCTATATGTGTGCCAGTGCTCCAAAGTTGAGGACAGAAGACAACTTTTGGGAGTCAGTTCTCTCCTTCCCTCATGGATGGGATCTGGGGATCTGACTTTCATGGCATGGCAAAGGCTTTTACTCAACGAATCACCTTGTTAGCCCTCATGTGGTTTTCAGTAAATTTATCCTTTTATCTAGCATGGATGGTCTTGAAATTACTATGCAGCGGAGGCTGGCCTGGACCTCCTGATCCTTCTGCCTCTACTTCCGAAGTGCTGGGATTACAGGTCTAGATCACTCTACCTGGCTACCCCCAAAGTGGAACAATTATAACGGACACGTTTTCTGAACACCCATTTTTATAGTGACTCACTTAAAGCTTTTAAGAACTCAAAGACAGAGAGCAGGGAAGCAGTTTCAGTTATCCTAATTTTGCTGATTGGCATCTTGGAAAACATTCAAGAGGGATTTAGGGAGGACAGTTATTCCCTCAAAGTAGACTTCGATTAGTCTCAATAACTTGTCCCTGATTTCTTAGAGGACCCCTTGTAGATGGCTCACAATTCAACAGACTTCTCCTAAAGACCATCGTTAAAATTCATTGATTATATTATGGCTTTCTTTTCAGCAATTCTGTGAACACATTTAGTGTCCTTACCAGAGGGCACCAGCCATAAGGATACCTAGGAATTCAGGAGCTTCTGTGGTCCTTTTGGATAATCTTGGCCATGGACTTTGTGTGTGAAATGTGCTGGGGACAGATGCAAAAACTCTTCAGGAGTAAGATGCTACCTGGGTTTTATTTAGTTTGTTTCCTTCATCCTAATATATATGTATATATATGGGGTCTTCCTGTGTAGCCTAAGCTACCCTCAAATATGTGACCCTTCTGCTTCAGCCTACCCAGTGCTAAGGCTATTGCTATTTTGAGGCATGCACTTATGAATTGTTGGTTTTAATGCAGAAGATTGAACCTGGTGCCTTACAGATACTTGTAAGTACTAAGCTACATCATCCAACACTTTATTTTCTTCCTCTTCTTTTTCTTATTACTATATATTTTTTCAAGACAGGGGTTCTCCGTGTAACGGCTTTGTCCACCCTGGGACTTGACTTGTAGACCTCTGGCTTCGAACTCAGGTATCTGTCCACTTCTGCCTTTTGAGTGCTGGAATTAAAGGCATGTGCCACCACCACTCGGCATTTATTTGTTTGCTGGTTTATTTATTTATTGAGAGAGGGTCTTAGCCTTAAACAAATTATGCAGCCTTAGGCAGGCCTTGAACTTGTGTTCCTTATGCTCCTCCTGCCTTAACCTTCCAAGTAGCTGGAATTACAGGTTTACATCAGCACATCTGGTAAGGAATCTGGGAAGTGTACTGTAGTTAAGAAAAATAAACTTACGGAGTCTAAGTGGGATAGTGAGCAAGAAAGAGCGAGCTTATCAACCTAGCCAAGGAAGACTTGAATTCCAATGTTCTCTATTAGAATGAATGAACGAGTGGGCTCTAAGAAGGCTTGAGAACAGCCTCAAATTATTAGTTTATACTCCTTAATAATATAAATCCTGCCGTACATAAATATTATATATGAATAAATTTCTAGTGTCAGATGACGTCAAATTCAACAGACATAAAACATTTCCTACAACCCTCCTCCCAGACTCTATTTTCTTCTCTTGATCTAGCTTTCACCCATCTTCCTAAACTAGAATCTGCAACCCACGCCTCTCCTGCACACCAACTTATCTCAAATCCTAGGGATTCTACCTAGCAATAAATCCAGAATCCATCTCCTCTATTCTCATTCTCTTCCGTATCGAAGACATCGCCTTCCCTTTCCAAAGAGAGAGGCCGACCAAGGGAGTCTGAAACTCCTTAACACAGCTTCTCTCGGGCGCGTCCTCTCAGCTTATTCCACACCCCCGACACCTGCTGCTTCCCCACACTGAGCCAGAGTTCCCCGAAACTAATTTTATTATGGCAGGACCTCTGCCCACAATACTATCTATTGAAATATTCTTCCCTCTTTTGGGGTCGCAGTTAGGCTGTCATTTAAGCCCAGGCAGGCAGTCCTCCATCCATGCCCTCCGCATGTTCCGGGCAGGACTGGAGTCCACGCAGGTGGCCGGCGCCTACGGTCGCTCTCCAAGGCTGGAGATGCATGAGCTCTCTCAGAGCGGATCGCAGCCTGGCGGCTCAAACTCGCTTCCAGCAGGGAGCCCACGGGCAGCACCGGCACTGCAGAGGCTTCCGGCCCGCGGAAAGAGAGCCGGCAGCTCCCGCCCGAAACCTACAGGCGCGTGGCTCCGTCCCTCGCGCTGCGTAGGAGGTGGGGCGGGGCGGGGCGCCAGGCGCCGGCGAACGGCGTGAGGCAGTCTGGGGGCGGGGCCAGGGGCGGAGCGGAGCGCGCATGCGCGGTCGCCTTTGTGTGGGTCGAGCGGCGGCGGCGGCGGTGGTGGTGGCGGCAGTGGCGGTCCCACTGGCAGGCGGGCAAGAGGGGAGTCCGGGCGGCGTCCGGCGTGGGAGCCGGGGGACCACCATGGTAAAGAAGCGGAAAGGCCGTGTCGTGATCGACTCGGATACGGAGGACAGCGGCAGCGACGAGAACCTGGATCAGGTGAGGGCAGGCCGCGGAGGCGCGGGCCGTCGGAGCGGGAGGGCTGAGTCCTGGCCACGGGAGCTGGGAGCGGGGAGCCGCCCGGCCTGAGCGCCCGGCCCGGCTGGTGTCCCGCTACTGCAGTCCCTTCCTGTCTCCCTGCTGAGTCTTAGGCCCTAGGAGCCCGGGCCAGGCCTGGAGATGGAGCTCCTTAGGACTTGGCGCCTTGGGCCGGGAGGCGGGGCAGGGATCGGGCTGATGGGCCTCGGGGTTTGGGGTACTGAAGGGGGCCGCTGTCTGCTTGAGCCGGATCAGGGCGTTACGACTGCAGGCCGGGAGAGATCCGGACTAGGCAAGGTAGGAAGTATCGCCCGTCAACACCAATGGCTGGGAGATTTTGGAGGAGGTGCAAGGGTTAGAGCATGGGGTGGTGGGAGCGAAAAAGAGCCTGGGGTGGACTCTCGTAGATGAAGTTCTTCAGACCAGGCATGTGGACATAGGAGGGACACCCACTAATGTCCCGAAGAGTCTCCGCGGTGCTTTGGGAGGAAGACTTAACTGTGGGAGACTAGGGTCACTTACGGTCGAAATGGGTTCCCGTTGAGATGTCTGACAAAAACTCTTGGGAGGAGGAAAGAGGGTAGATGACTGGAAGTTGTGAAGTGTGGGGCAGCATACAGGGACTGTGGCCCAAGCTCAGCCCTTTTTTATGCAGCAGCATGGAATTCTTTTTCACTCGGAAATCGGGGAGCAAGTATTGAAAGTAACTTGTGGCTTTAGAGTGCTTTGGAGTACCCCGCATTGCTTCTGTCCTCTAGAAAACGCTGCAGAGAGGAAGCTCTTCTTGTAGCAGTACTCTGATGGTATCAGGAAATACAAAGATTGTTTCCTCTGTGTTTCATGACATAAAGGAAGGGTATATAAGATACAGTAGCTTTATAAATGGAGTAGATAGAGTACTGAACTCAAAGTCTGAAATTCTGGATCCTACCTGCTTTCTAGCCGTGTACCGTTGGTCTCCGCTGTAAAATAGGGACATAACATCAGCATTGTGTATTAAATTGGACAGTTGCATGGAACAAATGTGTAATAATAATGTTGGTATAAACTACAAAGTTTTTGTATAAAAGGCTTGGAAGCCCTCTTGTAAAGACAAGAGTTCTCAGGTTGAGTTAGGGCTTGAAAGGGGGAGGCTTTTAAGGGGAAGTACTGCTAAGTTTTGTTTTAAAAAGAAAAGACCACCCCCTTCCCCATGTTTCTTTTTGATACAGGGTTTCAAACTATAACGTAGTCCTCATTGAGCTAAGCCAGTTCTCCTGCCTTGACCTCTTAAGTGCAGAGGGGGTTACAGGCATGATCAAAAAACAAAAACAACAAAAAAACTTTTGAAATGGTGATAGGGAGGTGGGAAAGTAACAGAGCCAATAGGAAGACTATCCAAGGTACAGGAAACCCTGTTTAGGGATAAGAACTGAGTGAATAAATTGAAGGCATTTTCATTGAAAAGCTCCTGAAATCTGCTGAAAATGTATTGCTGTCTATAAAAGTTTTATTGATAAGAATTTTTAGACTGGCAGGAAGAGTCGAATTTATATCATGCTTCTGCCCCTCTGTTTTGTGGTCTATGGAGCATAGATGTTTTTGTTTATATTATATCTGGAATAAATTAGATACCTTGATTAAGTGCTCAATTTACATGGTCACATTTTCAAGTCATGGTTAAGTTGACCTTATTTTTCCCACTTTACATATAAAGAAAACAAGATTAAAGATGCTAAAGTAATTCACTGGTAAGTAGTAGAAATGGAATTTAAGCCAAACATTTACAAGTATATTACATATTACATAAAACATACTATAAAAATACAAGTATACTGTTTCTACTACATGAGGTTGTATAGTTGTATAGTTGCAAAGTGAAAATAATGTGGGCTTTTAAAAATACTTATTTGATTTTTAAAAAATGTCTATGAGTGGTTTTTCTTCATGTGTGTATCTGGACCATGTGTGTACCTGTTGCCCACAGAGCTCAGGAATGGGTATTAGACTCCCTGGAGCTGGAGTTACAGACAGTTGTGAGTTGTCATGTGAGTGCTGGGAACTGCCTCCAAGTCTTCTGCAAAAGCAGCACGTTTCTGTAAGAGCTGAGCCGTTTTTCTAGAACCTTGTGTTTGAGTAGGGTTTTGCTATGTCGTCCGTGCGGGTTTAAACTTACAGTCTTCCTGCCTCAGCCTGCAGAGCTCTGGGGTTGCAAGCTTGAGCTATCACCAGGCCCAGCTTCATATCCAGCTAGAGAATAATGCTTTGTGGCCAGTTCCCAGTTGCTAAAACTCACTTTTTTTAAGGAACATTAAATGCTTATCAATTCAATTAGAAAGATTGTTTACAGCAAAGCCCTGTTAAGGCATCTCTTCCCTAGAGGAATGAACGAAACTGCCAGTTACTCTGACCTTAATGATTTTCCCACAGAATTCTGATGAATGATTGGGTGGAGTATTTCCTTTGGTGGTAGATAGAGATATTTCACCTGATCTACAAAGAGCATTTTTAGGAGCTGGAGAATGGGTAAAATCAGCATACTGCTCTTGCAGAGAACCTGGGTTCAGTCCTGGACATCAGATCCCCTCTTCTGACCTTCACAAGGCACCAGGTACAAACGTGGTACATAAACAAACATATAGGCAAAACCACTTCATATACACAAAATAAAAATAAATATTTTTTTTAAAAAGTATTTCCAAGCTAGGAAGTGAAGGAGATTACAACTTTAGATTTAATTCTAAATATCTGAAAAAAGAATGTGAAATTCTAAGTAGTACCAAAAATATTTTAACAGCAATTGTTGGCATGTTTGCTATCAGATGGGAAATGGATCAAAAGGCCCTTTCCTTGCACATTCTAAAAGAGGCACCAGTACCTTCTGGTTTTTTGTTTTTTTGTTTTTGTCTGTTTAGTACTGTGCCAGGCTCTCAGAGAAATTAAAGAGAAAGATCTCTGTCTTTTGGATGGCCTTATGAGAGTCTTTTAGAAATTTATAGTCAACCTGATTTTAGGATCTTAGGACTCCACAAATGTAACCATAGCCTTCTGTGCCTTTCCTGACTATTTGGCCTTGGATTGTGCCACCAAATGCTGAGTTTTCATTGGAGGTTTGACACTGGACTTGTTTATTAGTTCATGGTCCTTGTAGAAAGAATAAACCATGACAAATACGCAAGTGTCTAATAGGAGTCTATGCACAGTTAGTAAGGAGGCCTTGTCCCTTAGTTTCCAAGTGGTAATCTATGCCATTATGTCGGAATTACTCTAACAGCTCCAACTTGGCATGTTTTGAAGGGAGGTGAGGAAGCAGTGTTGAAGCCAGCGTGGGTTGCATGTTAAAGGTGTAGATTGTATGACTGGGGGCTTGGGAGGCATAGCGCTTAGCTCCAGTCTACTAAGTCAGACCCCAGAGACTAAAGTCCTGGATTCTATATTTGTAACAGGTACAGGCCAGGCAATTATGATTTATGTTCATGATTGAGACCACTGTTTGCAAGTTCATCTTTCTTAGTAAGACATTGTAACTAGTTGAGGAGGGAAGTAGCTGCTTGTGTTTCCTATAATATATCTAAGTTAAGGGCATACATGTAAGCCAGAGAACTTGATAGAGGTGTTTAAAGTGCCAAAGCTGCTAGCTCATTTAAACTCTAATGTGATTTTATTGGTAGGATGGCTTTTGTGTTTTGTTTTGTTTTGGTTTTTTTTTTGCTGCTGCTAGCATTGAACCCAGGACATCATGCATACCGAGTACATGCTTTGCTACTGAGCTGTATACCTAGCCACTAGAAGGTGCTTTAAAATATGTGTGTGTGTACACATATACACACACACAAACATATACGTATATATTTATTTATTTCTAATTTCATTTACATTGGTGTTTTGCCTGTGTGTCTGTGTGAGGGTGTTGGATATTCTGGAACTAGGGTTATATACAGTTGTAAGTTGTAATGTGGGAGCTGGGAATTGAACCTGGGTCCTGTGGTAGAGCAGCTAGTGCTCTTAATCACTAAGCCATCTCCTCCCCTTTTTAATTTTTTTTTTAAATATGTATATGGGTATTTTGCCTGCATGTATGATTGTGTACCACATTCATGCCTGGTGCCTGCAGAGGACCGAAGACTGTGTCAGATCCCCTGGAACTGGAGTTCCAGATGGTGATGAGTTGCCATGTGGTTGCTGGGAGCTAAACCCAGGTCCTATGGAAAAGCCATCTCTCCAGCTCTAGAGATTCTTTTTTTTTTTTTTTTTAAATCATTCATTCTTTCTTCTTGGTAAGGTGTGTGTGTGTGCGTGCGTGCGCACACGCATGTTTGTGTGTTTAGAGATGAAAGAAGTCTCATGGAACTCAGGCTGGCCTCAAACTTAGTATGGTAGCTGAGGATGATCTGGCTGTCTTCATTTCCCAACTACCTCTGCTCCCAAGTGTAGGGCCACAGGTGTGTGCCACCGTATTATGTGGTGCTGGAGATGGAATTAGAGAGATTTGTACATAGTAGGCAAGCACTGTACCAACTGAACCTGCATTCCCAGCTAAAAAACTGATCTTTTTTTTTTTTTTTTTTGGAGGGTCTTTGTATATGTGTGTGTACATTCATACAAGTTTAACACTGGAAATCAAAACCAAGGCATCACACATGCTAGGCACATGCCCTGCCACTAAGGTTTACTTTCAAGCCTTGGAGGATTTTCCTTTTGCATGTAAGCTGATATTTTGCCCATATTATTCCTTTCCCATTTTTAAATTGCAGGGTACTTGTCATTGGTGCTTTATTCAGCCCTAACCTTCCATGGGAGTGCACAATTGTAATCCTAGCACTCAGGAACCTGAAGCAGGAGGAGCAAGAGTTCAAGGCCAGACAAGACTACATAATAAGACGCATTCATTTCAGTCCGTCCTTCCTTCCTTCCTTCCTTCCTTCCTTCCTTCCTTCCTTCCTTCCTTCC